GAGGCTGCGGTGGCCGGGAGCGGCCACTGCCCTCCAGTTTGGGCGACAGAGTGAGACTCCAACTCAAAAACAAACAAACAAACAAAAAAAGAAGAAGAATGTTATATGTATTGAAAGGGTTAAGAGCCAAAATGGAGTCTCTTAAGAAGTTAAGATGGAGTAGCTTTAGTTAAAAGGATAGAGAGCCACCATTGTAAATTTGCTCAGCTTAGTCATGCTTAAAGAAGCAACTTGTTTCAGCTTTTTCCCAGTCGTCTGCTCGCAGAACCGGTTGTCCAGAGGTAGAAACTGATCGTTGGTTCTAACATTCTAGCTACTTCTTTGTACTGATTACTTCTCCCTATTCTGAGCATTTGTCTTCTAACCATGAGAAAACTAAGCTGACCTAACAATCTATTGTGATCAGCCTTCTGTGACTGCCACCAGACCTCCACCTGGAGTCACAAGATATATGTTGCCCTAACAACTTCAAGGCACAAGGTCAATGTTATCAACACCTAAGAATATAGCTGCAAGAAAGTGTCTACTCATCCCCCTTTTTCCTATATAAAAGCCCCTGCCTTGGCTGGGCGCAGTGGCTCACACCTATAATCCCAGCACTTTGAGGGGCCAAGGCAAGAGGATTGCATGAGCCCTTGGGTTCGAGACCAACCTGGGCAACATGGAGAGACTTTGTATCTACAATAAATAAAAAAATTAGTTGGGCATGGTGGTGCATGCCTGTAGTTCCAGCTACTTGGAAGGCTGAGGCGGAAGGATCACCTGAGCCCAGCAGGTCAAGGCTGCAGTGGCTGTGAGCATGCCACTATACTCCAGCCTGGGTGACAGAGTGAGACTCCAACTCAAAAAAAAAAAACCCTAGCTTTAAATATACTTTGTACCCAGACCCTCCACCACACTAGCTCTTTACTGTGAATAAACTCTTTTACTTTGCTTTTGCAAGTATTTGCTTTATTTCCCCTGGTACTGGCCTACTGACACCCCAAGAGGACCCTAACATGTATTATCTCATTGAATCGTCCTGACAAAATAGCTAGGTACTATGATTATGACATTGTCTTTTTCAGAAGAGAAAACCAAGGCTCACTGCACTTAAGTCATTTACACAAGAATACACAGGAACAGAAAAACCAGAATGTGGCCTGGGTCCATCTGACTCCCATCTCTGAGGTCTTTTTGTTTTATTTTGTTTTGAGTCAGAGTCTCACTTTGCCACCCAGGTTGGAGTGCAGTGGCATAATCACAGCTCACTACAGCCTCGACCTCCTTGGCTCAGGCGATCCTTCCACCTCAGCCTCCCAAATAGCTAAAACTTCAGGCACACACCACCATGCCCGGCTAATTTTTTGATTTGTTGTAGAGACAAAGTCTCACCATGTGGCCCAGCCTAGTCTCAAACTCTTAGATTCAAGCAGTCCTCCTACCTTGGACTCCCAAAGTGCTGGGATTACAGGTGTGAGCTACCATGCCCGGCCTAAACGCATACATCTTAGTTATCCGGTTCAGCAGGTTTTTTTGTTGTTTTTTTTTGAGTTGGAGTCTCACTCTGCTGCCCAGACTGGAGTGCAGTGGCCGCTCCCGGCCACCGCAGCCTCGACCTGCTGGACTCTGGCGATCCTTCCGCCTCAGCCTTCCAAGTAGCCGGAATTACAGGCATGCGCTACCACGCCCGGCTGATTTTTTGATTTATTGTAGAGATGAGGTCTCGCCGCCCAGGCGGGTCTCAAACCCGCGGGCTCAGGCAATCCACTCACCTCAGCCTCCCAAAGCGTGGGATTACAGGCTGAGCCACCGAGCCCGGTTATAGGTTTTAACAATAGTATACATTCACATAGTTACCACCCAATTCAAGATAATAGAAATTTCCATCACCTCGGAGAATGCACTCCAACCCTCTTCCAGTCAGTTCCTGTCTCCTACTCTCTACCTTCTACCACCACAGATTAATCTTTCCTGTTCCTAAACTTCATATAAATGGAATCATAAGGCACGTATTCTTCTTCTTCTTCTTCTTCTTTTTTTTTTTTTTTTGTGGAGACGGTAGCTGTGTTGCCCAAGCTGGTCTCAAATTCCTGGCTTCAAGCTATTCTCTTGCCTCGGCCTCCCAAAGTACTGGGATTACAGGCATGAACCACCACACTGGCTTCTTTTGCTCATCATAACGTTCCTTAGGTTCATCCATGGTGCTGCGGGGCCTGGTAGTTTGTTTTCTCCTATAGTCTTCTGTGGTGTATAAATGCACTACAATTTGCTTATCTATTCGCCTGTGGTTACACAATTGTGTTGTCTCTACTTGGACTGTTTTAATTACGGCTAAGATGGATGTCCGTATATACATCTTTTCAAGAATGCATGTTTCATTCCTTTTGATATGTAATTGAGCATATTTTGCCGAGTCATAGAAGAGGTTTTGGTCATTCTCATGAAAGGTACACATAGTTCTCCAAAGTGGTTATAGTGTCATTCTCCTATTCCTTATAGCACCGGGGGTAAAAACTAAAATGCCCGATAATCAGAGAAACTGTCAGAGGTGACAAACCAGGAACCAAATGGCCTGCATCTGGCCCTCATTGATAATAATCACAAGGCTTTGCAGAACTTTACTGCAACAGTCAGAAGTTCTGACCCATCTTGGAGCTCAGTTATGGCTGCCCCCATTCAGCAGGGACACATGCTCTCTAGTCGGCCACAGCCCCACCTGCTGGGCTTCACCCAGTGATGTGTCCCCTCTGTGGGCAGTTGACCAAAGTCCCCCAGATGAGCCCTGAGAAGTCAACTAGAACCCAGGTTGGCAAAGCAATGCACTTTCCACGGCACTCCCCTGCTTTTCCTGGTGTTGTGACCTCTGACTGCAGATCACAGGTCCCTGGCCTTCTGTCTGTCCCCCTCCTGTAAACTTGTCCCTCAGGGCAGGTTCCTGCTCTGCAGTTCTTATTCATGCTGGTGTCACTCTAATCACTGGGTATTTTTTTTTCTTTTTTTGAATTGGAGTCTCACTCAGTCGCCCAGACTGGAATGCAGTGGCTGCTCCCGGCCACCGCAGCCTCGACCTACTTGGGCTCTGGCGATCCTTCCGCCTCAGCCTTCCGAGTAGCTGGAATTACAGGTGTGCACTACCACGCCCAGCTAATTTTTGATTTATTGTAGAGATGAGGTCTCGCCAAGTTGCCTAGGCAGGTCTTGAACCCGCGGGCTCAGGCAATCCACTCACCTCAGCCTCCCAAAGATGCGGGATAACAGGCTGAGCCACCGAGCCCAGCTTATCACTGGGTCTTTGCTTATCCAGGCCCTCTGTCTAGCCAGGTGCAATCTCTGAGCCATCCCCATTGCTCCTGTAGGGCTCTAGAACCAAACAGTCTGGGTTCAAAACCTGCTCTGCCCCTAACCAGCTGGCTGACCGTGGGCCTGTTACCTTCTCTACCTCTGTTTCTTCATCAGTAAGGTGGAGATAATGATAGGACCTATCTCGGAGGGTTGTTGGAAAGACTAAGTGACTCAAGACGTGTTCAGCACTTAGAACAGAGTCTGATGTGTGTTTGTCACCATGATTATTTCCGGCTACATGGTGCCAGGACAGGTGACCCCAGAGCACAGACAGGCCCAGTGGAGGAGTGAGAGGGCGTAACCACGACGCTGCTCCAATCAGCTATCTGGGGAGCTGTGGGCCTGGTGAGGCCAGATCTCCAGATTGTTCTAGAAAAGTGTGCAATCCAGAGTCCTGTGTTAAGCCCCTTGGTTGGCAAATGCCAGTAACTCCTTTTCAAATGTTTCGGATGCTCTTGAGCCTCCAGTGAGAGCCTTCACTGTGTACTCCTGCCCCAGCTTTCTTGATGTCCTGGGCTCAGCGTCGGCTCCTGGCATTTCTGGGTCACCCCTGGCAGTTTTTCAGGGCTCCAGTTGCCTTGCCTTTGCCCTGCCTTGGTCTGGAGAATGCATGGACAGGGATGGCAGAGGCGGCGGTTACTGCTGTGGCGGCGGCTGCGGTGAGGGTTGTGGCTGTGCGTCCCTCCTGGCATTCTGCCCGTGTCCCCTGCATCCCCTGCCAGCATCTCTCGCCCCCCCCTTCCTCCAGCTCGTCCCAAGCCCGCCTGTCCCCAGCGGGGAGGCGGGACAGTGGAAGAGTGGGTGAGTGAGATAGGACGGTGCCCAGGGCTCAAGCGTCTCCCTCACCCCTGCCCACCATGGGCCCCACCAGGTGAGGGCCTGGTAGAGGCCGGGCGCAGGGCAGGGCGCAGGGCCTCTACCTTTCCCACGGGGACCTACTCAGAGTTCAAGGGTTCCAGGCTGGGCCCCAGCCTCTCCTCTGCCCCGGGGGAGATCATTCACGCTTCCTTTACTCCCTGCAGCAGCTGAGGCTGGAGTTTGGAGTTTGACCCGCTTGGAGGCTCTCTCAACGGCAGCAGGCATATAGGAGGGAGGGTCACCGCTGTCTGCTGAAGCTCTAAGCTGCGTAGAGAGGGGTCTCCTTCTCACAGCCATCTCTACCTCCTTCTGCCTCCGAAGCTACCAGCAGCGCCCAGGGCAGGTGAGCCCTGCATCCATAGTAAGGTAAGACCTTTCCCTTCCCCACTAGATACGCACTCTCCAACTAGGACACTGCTCTGTGAACAGGCGCTGGCAGACGGACTCCAGCTGTGGCCCATGAGAGCGGGAAGGCTTGTCATGCACCAGGCAACCAGAGTGAGTTTGGAGGGTAGGCATCGTGGCATGAAGCCAGTATCCCGCAGCACCGGGTGTGGACCCCAGTTCTTTCACTTAACCAAGTGCAGGAACATTGAGCCAACCTTTGACCTCAGGGAGCCTCAGGTTTCTTATCTGTTGAATGGAAATGTGAACCTCAGCCTGGCTCAGCCCACAGGTATGCAAAAGGACCCAAAGAGATAATGAAGGTAAACACATCTACATAAACTACAGGAAGCTAGAGGGGTGTGTTCTAACAACGAGGCAAGTATAAGCGCTCACTCCTACGTGTCGGACACGTGAGGAGCTTTGCCTCCCAGACCCTGTCTGACTGGCACAGTAACTCTGCAAGGTAGGCACAGCCACCGTGAATTCACAGACCGTCTAAGGGCCATTCAGCTTCTTGCCTAAAGTGACTCAGTCACCAAGTGGCAAAAGCTGGGACTTGCCTCCTGTGGCCAGGTGCCTCTCCATGCTGCTGCTGGTTTTCAAATGGTGTTCTGCTGAATAATTTCAGGGAAGGGCTTATGGGGCACCCTCCCCCATAGGGCAGCCTGTAGATGTGACTTTGAAAAAATGCCAGCCGGGCTCGGTGGCTCAGCCTGTAATCCCGCGCCTTTGGGAGGCTGAGGTGAGTGGATTGCCTGAGCCCGCGGGTTCGAGACCCGCCTGGGCAGCGAGACCTCATCTCTACAATAAATAAAAAAAATCAGCCGGGCGTGGTAGCGCATACCTGTAATTCTGGCTACTTGGAAGGCTGAGGCGGAAGAATCGCCGGAGCCCAGCAGGTCACTGCACTCCAGCGGCCACTGCACTCCAGTCTGGGCAACAGAGTGAGACTCCAACTCAAAAAAAAGAAAAGAAAAATGCCGACTCTCAGCCGGGCACAGTGGCTCACACTTGTAATCCCAGCAATTTGGGAGGCAGAGGCGAGAGGATTGCCTGAGTCAAGGGGTTTGAGACCAGCCCGGGCAACTTGATGAGACTTCATCTCTACAATAAATCAAAAAATTAGCCAGGCATGGTGGTGCATGCCTGTGATTCCAGCTACTTGGAAGGCTGAGGCAGAAGGAGTGCCTGAGCCCAGCAGGTCAAGGCAGCAGTGGCTGTGAGTGTGCTACTGCATTCCAGCCTGGGCAACAGAGTGAGACTCCAGCTCAAAAAAAAGAAAAGAAAAGTAAAGAAAAATGCCTCCCCATGGGAGGTCTATAGTAAGGGTCTATAGCAGAGGCTCAAAAAGCCCCACATTTGTTCATTATACCAATGTTTATTGAGTGTCTGCTTTGGGAACACACTGTGAAGGGAGACAAACACGGTCCTTGCCTTTGTGGGGCTTCCAGTGCCATGGAGACAAGGAATCATGAGAGAATCAAACGCTATGCAAGGTGAAGCCTTGATAAGAAGTCACGTGCGCTATGACAGAATAACTTGGAGACCCAATGTAGACTGAGGCCAAGAGAGGGCTCCTTTGGGGATGTACTGTAGGCTGACTCCTAAAGATGAGTAGAAGATTGTCGAGCACAGCCAGGCATGGTGGCTCATGCCTGTAATCCCAGCACTTTGGGAGGCCGGGGAAGGAGGATCACTTAAGCCCGGGAGTTTGAGACCAACCTGGGCAACATGGCGAGACCTCATCTCTACAAAAAATAAAAAATAGGGCAACCTCTTCGGGTCCCCTCCCACTGTGGGAGCTTTTCTGTTTTCTCCATAAATCCTGCTTTAAAAAATAAAAATAATAATAAACATTAGTCTGGTGTGGTAGCACATGCCTGTAGTCCCAGATACTCAGGAGGCTGAGGTAGAAGAATTGCTTGAACCCAGGAGGTCGAGGCTGTGATGAGCCATGATGGTGCACTGTGCTCCAGCCTGGGTGACAGAGTGAGACTCTGTCTCAAAGAGAGAGAGAGAGAGAGAGAGAGAAGAGAGAGATTGTCAGAGAAAGAGTGGAAGGAAGAGCATCCCAGGCAGAGGGAAGAGAATGGCGAAGGCCCTGAGGCCAGAAATGGTATTCAGGGGGGAAGAAATGAAGCACGGCCGAGCCCCTCAGCAGGTGCTGAGATGTTTTGAGCAGGAAAATGACCTGATCTGTGTTTAAAGCTCTCTCTGGCTTCCATGTGAGGACTGGGTTAAAAGAAAGTGTGGCACTGAGGAGATACTTGTCGGGTCTTTCTCTAATCTAGTCAGAAGCAATGGTGGCTTGGACAGGGGTGATAGAATAAAGTTGAGGGAAAGTGGATGGATTCAAGTTACATTTTGGAAATAGAAGAGAATGGAGTTAGGTGTGAATGATTCTGAAAGTTGAGAAGGAAACACTATGAATTATTTGATGGTACATTTGCACACCAGGCACCCTTGGTGTTTAGACACAGTGCGTGGCACATAGAGGTGCTCACAGACCCTTGATGAATGAATGAATGATGGTTTAAGGATGACTCTTGAGTTTCTGGCATGAGCAGGAGAGTAGATGAAGTTACTATTTGTTTCTTGTTGTTTTTTTTTTTAAAGAAACTTCTGGGTCTTTCCCCTTCTCTTTATTTTATTTTATTTATTTCTTTTTTTGAGTTGGAGTCTCACTCTGTCACCCAGACTGGAGTGCAGTGGCCACTCCCGGCCACCGCAGCCTCAACCTGCTGGGCTCCAGCGATCCTTCTGCCTCAGCCTTCCAAGTAGCCTGAATTACAGGCATGCGCTACCACGCCCGGCTGATTTTTTGATTTATTGTAGAGATGAGGTCTCGCTGCCCAGGCGGGTCTCGAACCCGCGGTCTCAGGCAATCCACTCACCTCAGCCTCCCAAAGGCGCGGGATTACAGGCTGAGCCACCGAGCCCGGCTGAAGTTACTATTTGATGCAATGAGGAAGAGAGGACATCTTCTTCACTTCTTTGGGCAGAGGAGCTTTGGTCTGACTCCCACATGTAGACTTGAGATGTCTTTTGGGTGTTCACACTGGCCTTTGGATGGACAGGTGTTCTGGAAATTCTATTCTCTCTAGAATTATGAGACAAGATCATCCCTGAAGGGGCGAGGGAGAGAAGACTTCTCATCCAGTCCCCTCCATACCTTGGGTATATCTGTTATCCTGCTGTGGATCATTTGGGAAACACTGTCCTGCCCTACCATGCCTAGAACTGCTTTCCAAATTACCAGAGCTGTGGCTCTTCCTGACAGGCTGGAGATGATCCCGGCCTCTGCTTCAGCCCAAAGTTCTGGAATCTGTCCTCAGTCTCTTTCTGGAGACCTGTTGCTGTGAACGCCATGTTCACCTGGTGGAGGAGGCCAGGAGTGGTCGTCTAGCTTCTTCCTTGTGCCGTTTTGGGCCTGACAGCCCTCTTATGCCTTACAGATTTGACCCTTTCCCTCTGGATGGACTGTCTCCATCCCCAGCCTCCCTAGACCCAGGCCAGTTCAAAACCCAGCTTGTGGTGGAGGGGTGGGCCATTCCCTTCACTGCAGGTGACCACAGAGGCATGGTAGGAAAGGTGTGAGTGGCAGCCAGCCTGGAAGATGCAGCCTAAGCAGTCCTGCTCTCACATCTGGAATTTTCCCTGCCAAGGTCCATGTGTCGCAGAGTGGTTAGGAGCTTGACAGTTAAACCCAGGTTGGAGTTCTGGCTCAGTTATTTACCAGTGGTGTGGCCTTAGACTTGACCTTAGTCCTCACCTGTTCAATAGAGTCAATCTGAGTCTAGACCTCTTAGTGGTGCCTGGCATTCAAAATGTCATTCACATACCTAGGTGGCCAAGGTCTGCCGGAACACAAAGTTCATCGTTCATGCTCCTTTTTTTTTTAAGGTTTTAGGACTTGGTAGCTCACACCTGTAATCTCAGCACTTTGGGAGGCTGAGATGGGAGGATTGCTTGAGGCCGGGAGTTTGAGACAAGCCTGGGCAACATAGTTAGACCTCTTCTGTATAAAAAAATAATAATAATAAATGAGCTGGAATGATGGTGTGCACCTGTAGTCCCAGCTGCTTGGGGAGCTATGGCTGGAGGATTGATTTTGAGCCCAGAAGTTTGAGGCCTGCAGTAAGCTATGTTTGTGCTATTGCACTCCAGGCTAGGTGACAGAGTGAGACTCTGTAAGAAAGAAAGAAAGAAAGAAAGAAAGAAAGAGAGAGAGAGAGAGAGAGAGAGAGAGAGAGAGAGAGGAAGGAAGGAAGGAAGGAAGGAAGGAAGGAAGGAAGGAAGGGAAAGGAAGGAAGGAAGATTTTATAAGAAAGACAGGGGCAGACCAAGTATCCTGTACTTAATCATGTGACATACAGAATTAATTTTCTTTCTATTTTTTTTTTTTTTGAGTTGGAGTCTCACTC